AATTTCTTGGAATAACACCGTCTCTGTGCTTGGATCAATGCAATCCATATCCTCATTGGCTGGATAATTAACCTACACACACAGTACTCAACAAAATGCAAAAATCCACCATTAACCAATTACCTTCAATGTCACTTGCGACCTGGTGCAAAGATAGTGAGTGAACCTATCACAAAGACAAGGCTTTAAATGCTTTTACAAACTCAAAGGTACTACTGCTGATTAATGGAAAGCTTGAGAAGAGGCATATGCTAAAATTGTCACGTTCTGTACACCCATCGAATCAGTGAACAATCGAAGGAAATCAACCCTGCTTCCTGTGACTCTCGACTAATCAAAAAGAATAAAAACAGAAATGGCAGAAGGGTCAACCAACTCTGTTGCACAAACAACCGGCTAAGGTGCACAAGTGCTCATCTTGCACCAGTGCAGCATGTATGCGTGAAATTTCCAAATCAAATATTTGAAATGTAAAAAGAAATCTGGTGTGAGTCAGACTGGAAGAGAAATCTATATCCGTGCTTACCATAATGCATGTAGCAGTTGCCTTTTGTGGGATCGAGTTGGATGGCCTTGAGGAAGTACCTCTCCGCTTCTGTTTTCTGCCCCTGAGAAAGATGGATTAAACACAGTGTCATTATTGTTTCAACTGCTTCTCAAAGCTACTCGGTCTAAAAACACCACACTCGACTCAACAGCCAAAATACCTCTGTGTATACCTAATGTCCCTCTTCCAACCACAGACGTACTCTAACGATAAATCTTAACAATCAGACACGAAACACACGGATCGCTACTGTTACTCTGTCAGGCTCATGTGTCGTCCCACAAAAGCAGACGCTGTCACGTTTAGCACAGCAGACCGGACGGTAAAGTCTCGTTCATTAAACATATTATCTTTGCAAAGAGCACTTCCGGAGCATAGTTGCAGATTGTCAGTGTGTGTGGCCTAACTGCTATTAAACAAGACAGTGAGTAGGGAAGCGGAGAAAACAGAAAGGCTTGTGTCTATAATGCCTCAAGTACAGGTGTACTGCACACAAATATGATTTTTATTTTTATGTTCCAGAAAGAATCCATACCGGAGGGGGGCGAGCATAATATGATGAGAAGAAGACACACTGAAGCCCTGCAGACCGCAAAAGCTTCCTCAGGCCCTTTACTCTGTGACATGTAACCAATCACAGCTCTAACAGAACCGAGCAGCTGGCCAATAGAAGTGCCAGCTGGGACTCTGACACATCGCTGATCTCAGTTGGGCACCAGATGTCATCTGATCAATAATTAACCATGTGCACTCATCGATAAAAGCTGATGCATTAATAATGCAACCATCAGTATGCATTTGAAAGAGAGATAAAGCCTTCTCGTGAAGACTAATATACTAAGGCATTACTGGATTATGCAAAGCCAGTAAAAACAACCTGAATGAGTGGGACACTTAGCGCAGAACTTCAGTTCAGTCACACAGAAGGACGGGCCCTATATCGTATTAATGACAGCAGACTTCATTTTCAGTGAGCGGTCGATTCAATAAATACAGAAATGTAAACATCTGAGTGTAGTTTCCATCGATGCTGCAGAAAACGAAGCCTGTGCCAAGGATACGTTTAACAGAGCTGATTGTGTCCAAGTTCCATTCTGAAAAG